AAAAAACCCAACAGATTCCAATACATACATAAAGATAAAAAATAAGGGGGCACGAAATATTTAGCCTGAAGTTAAATTGGAGTGCTAGAAAAGAAAGACTAATGAAAGGGATTTCTGAGGAGTCAGAAAAATACAGATTTTTTTTTTAAAAGGCAAATAAGGGGACTGGAGAGACAGCACAGTTGGAAGGGTGCTTCTTTTACGTGCAGTCGACCCCATATGGTTCCCAGAACCCCACCATGAGTGATAACTGACCGCAGACCCAGGAGTAAGCTTACTCCGTGTGTGGTCAAAACCACCCCCCTACAAAAAGGTAATTTAAAAAATTACAAAAGCAGATAAACTATGTGAAATAAGAGATTAAACACACATTTTGGAGTTGCGATTATAAAGCCAATCAAAATACCCAGATTATGTGGGGGTTTTCTCTGAACTGTTAGGGCTTCTCTAGTTAAAAAATACTAGTAAGGTTCCTTACATTTCTTTTCTTATAGTCTTTAAAGAGAACACAAAAACAGTGAACCAGTATGAAAATGTTCAAATACAAAGCAATGAAATCTGGAGTCACTTATTTTTTCTTAAGAAAAATGTTTTATTATCTAAGAAGAAAGAAAACCAACGCTTTTTTAAAAACAGGGATCCAATTCCCCAAAGCAAACATCATTTAACTTAAAAGAGAATATAAGGGTCCAAAACATACTTGTCACATGTATTATATCTGATCCCTCTTCACCTTAAAAATCTAAATATGAAAAGACAGAAATAAGGTCTAACTGCAGAAAATTCTCAGGAAGCATTTCCCAAAGCTACAGATAAAACTTTGAGTTATCTAGTTTAAGCAATTAATAATAAAGATTATATCTATTTTTTCTATTATTTTTGAGACTATTATCACTCTGACTAAAAATATTAAAAATTAGAGAGAGGGCCTGTGCAGCTAATATACCATTAGCACTGAACCATCAATCTAGTTGCACTAATATGGCAGGGCATGGTCCTTGGGCCCTCTGAACCTTGCATCAGAGGCCCTTATAGAAAGTATAAAATTAAAAAATACGCAATATACATAATTTTATTAAAGTATATTTTATTTGAACATTAATTTACCCACTGCAGTTTATTATCTTCCAACAAACTGTTCCTCTTGGTCAACCAAGCACTGCCTGTTAGAGCTGGGAGCAGCCTCTGAGCAGTACAAAAACAACCCTACACTGAGCCCCAGCACTGCTGGATGGAACCCAAAACACAACTGAAAAAAGGAAAAAAAAGACCTCTTTCAAATATTTAGTGACATAGTGACATTATAATCCTTCTTAATTAAATAATTTCTTAACTATGAAGATGAACCACAACTCAACATTTCATTCACTTCTCTCAATACATTTCTCAAAATGTATTGAGAAAATTTACAAAACGTAAACTTTATCAAAGTATTAAGCTTTCTTCAGACAGGCCCGCTGCATCACTCTAAAGCAATGTTTCTATATAGTTATGCAAACCTCATGTAAAACTCTCCACGTCAATACGTTATTTTGTGATTTTTTTACCAAACATGCTAGAGTCACAGAACAGAAAAGCCTTGGGAGTTTACTAAAATAACTAAAGAAAGTATACTAAATTACTAATATAAAATAAAGCATTATATCAAAGATCAGGGCAAGAGAGATAACTCGGGTGATGAGGTGATTGCCTTGCTGTGATCAATCCCAGTTAGATCTGGCAACACATATGATCCCCAAAGCACCACTAGCAGAATTACTGAGCACAGAGCCAGGAGTAAGCCCTGAGCACTTGCAGGTGTGATCCAAACCCCTAACTATCAACCTCTCTAAAAAGAAAGACTAATTTTGACTTTGCCAATCTAGTGGTATTTATATGACCTTTAATTTTAAAAGATAAAATACAGAGAATAAATTATCAAAAAATTTATAAAATAATCAACCATAATCTACCAGGACAAGAGGATTAACGGATGCCATAAACAATGTTCTACACTTTAACTTTCACACCTGGCAAGCTACCCATGACATATTCGATACGCCAAACACAGTAACAAGTCTCACAACGGAGACGTTACTGGGTCCACTCGAGCAAATGGATGAACAACCGGGTGGGGGGGGGGGGTAGTGCAGTGCAGTACTTAAAAAACAATAACTGGCTTATTTTAACATTTTTTTCCACTTATGTTTAAAAAATTACATATAAGGAAACAGTCTGTAAGCATGGCCCAGGAAACAGTTCTTTGATTCCACAAATGAAGATCCAGTGTGAAATTAATCACACTATGGCACACCTTTACTATCATAATTTTTACAGTATTAATGTATCGGGCTGGAGCAACAGCACAGCGGTAGGGCATCTGCCTCGCACACGGCCGACGGGGCCGACCCAGGTTCTATTCCTCTGCCCCTCTCAAAGAGCCCGGCAAGCTACCAAAAGTATCTAGCCCGCATGGAAAAGCCTGGCAAGCTCCCCGTGACTTATTCGATATGCCAAACACAGCAACAACAAGTCTCACAATGGAAACGTTACTGGGCCTGCTGGAGCAACTCAATGAACAATAGGAGGACAGTGCAGTGCTATTAATGTGTCATGCGATGTGCTAGAAAACAATTTGTTGATAAAATGACTACAATTTGTAGACATCTGGAAAACATCTTTAGGCAAGTTTTCAGGATCGGTATTAATTTAATTCCTTATTAAGTTAAACCACTTAACGTAAACCACTATCTTGATTATGGTTTCCAGCTCACTATAAGTCTGATCAACTAACACATCTCCCCACTAAGTAAGCAACTAATATCAGTAAGACTTCCAAACAATATATTTTAAAATTTAAAAGCTTATCTTTATAAAGAAGAATTTTTTTAAAAACTTCTTCTTAAAGATTTAGTAATTTAAAAAATGTTTTGGAAAAACCTTCAAAAGCACTGTTTCTGTCATGGAATAGAAAACTGAAAGAAATTGATAGGATAATCAAGTATCAAAAAGTAGCTTCTGTTGTGACAAAGTAGATTCTGTTGTGATATACAATTATGTCACTAATGTCCAAATTCAAATTTTACTAAACATTTACTATATTTAACATCATCATTGCTATTAAATACAAATATCAAATAGTCTCAATCTTAGGAATAGGCAAAGGGCAGTACTCTTCTATGCAGTGCTGGGCTTTCACCTCAGATTGGCTTTTTAAAAGACCTGTCAATACATATCAGTGTCTGAAGGAACAGAAGTCAACATGCAGATTTTGTCAAAAAGAATTCAAGTCCACTGACCTGATAAACTTCTATCCAATGAACTAATAGATAACCTCAGGTTTATACTTTTAGGATGTGCTACCATTATTAGTTTTTTGTATCTAAGTAGACCATCTTACTCAAAGAGCTGGAGTGCCTTCTTTGCATTCTGATGTCCTGGTTTGACCTCTAGCTCCACATGGTCCTTAGAGCACTACCAAGAGATGATCCTAGGTGCTGATCCCGAAGTGACCCCGAAGCACTGCTGGGTTGAACCAGAAATAAACCAAAACCAAAACCAAACCAAACACCCTAGTTTCCTCTACAGCTCTTTCAAACACATCTCACAAATTACTGAAACCCTCATTGCTAATAAGTTACATAATACGTTAGGCTTACATTCATTTCATATGTGTATGGGATGATGATTTTACCTTTATGAAAATTATACTTTAATATATGCTTTATTTAGGAAACTGATGGGGATCATAATATGATTTTATCTAATTTAACTGTGAAATAATTACTATTTTCAAATATCTCTGAATATTCTAATATACATGAACATCATTAAATTTTTAAAGTTTATCTGGTTATATTCATAGCAGGTAATATTTTACTAAGTAGAAATCTAATTTTCAGATTTCCCCCCAAGGAAATGAGAAAATTAAGAACAAGCATAAAGGAAATCACAGCAAAACAGAACTACAAAAAAGGAAGAAAATACATCATTACCAACGTAACTATCAAAATTTTGCTATGTTCTATTGAGGTAAACAAATACCATGGAAAAGTTTTAATAAAATCCTAAATATACAATAGTTTTTCCTTTATTTTAGATACATTAGCAAGGTTAAAAGAATACAAATGAAATGACTGCACTACAGTATTTTAGTTACTACATACCATTATTCAAAAAGTTTGACGATATTTACTTTATAACCTATTATTATTTGGGGGAGGGTAAGAGATTCACACCTGGTATTGATCCAAGGCTAATCCTAGCTCTGTGCTCAGGGGTCATATTCTGCGACACTCAATCAAAAACATTTATGAAGGTTTTCCTTAAGGAGTCAAAATTTATTTTTCCTTTACTCCCACTCTCCCATCTGTACCAGCACACTTATTTTTTCCAATTCTTTATAGTTTTAAAGAAACTAACACCACTTTATTATTTTACTTATGTTAAGAATACATGTGCAAAATCTGAAATAAAAACATGTCTTTGCATGTATTTAATGATACGCATTCATGTGTGTATGTGAGATTATATACACACTATTTCAATGTATATGTATGATTTTATCTGTTTTCTTTTTTGTTTGATTATTTACTAAGGGGTAGTAGCAGTCTGTAAAAACTAGGGGAAAAACTCAGAATAAATGAAGACAAAAGAGCAAATCTCTTTTTTGGGAGGTGGATATTCTGTTTTTCCAGAGGTTCCAAGGAGTATGGGGGTTTGCCCTGAGATATTTGGCCCCTGAAGTGCTGGTAATTTGATGCTGCCTGTATCTGGCAGTAGAGGCGGTCACCAGGGCAATTTATACAATTTAACGAAGAATCATAATTCATTCAACAAGCATTTGAATGCCAACAGAATACTAATCACTGCTTAGCACAAATCAAGTACTGGTCAGCCAATACTGCTTAGTACCCAATGTTTAATAAACAAAATCCAATGTTTAATAAACAAAATAATATCAGCATAATACTATTTTAAAAGATCCAGGACATTCCTATAGCTTAATAAAATATATTTACCTCAAAGCCAAGTCTATCCTTTTCTTTCCAAAAACAAAAATGTGTTACTTTCTTATCCCAGAATTCATCTGGTTTCACTACACAAACAAGGGACACTTCAGCTGGAACAACATTCTGTAAAATAACAAAGAATAATTATAAATTGTACATGTAAAATAAATAATTTACTACAGTTACGAATCACTAGACAATTGTGATTATAGGATTTATTTTGGAAAAGAATAAAAACAAAGTAGAAGGAACACTTTCAAATGTTCATAATAAAAATAGCTAAAATATTTCAAATAATGTAATATGCACAGTATATATGAAATAAATGTTGTGTTTTAATCTCTCTAACATGAATACGTTTAAACTGCAAAATAATTTTTAGTTAAGAAATTATTAATTTTTTTGTAATATAATATTTTTCCTAGCACAATCATGTTATATATATATTCATCAAATAACTTAAAATCAACATTCTACCAAAAAATCAGCATTATACTGTTAGAATTATGCATGATTATTAACTTGAAGAAAAACTTATATTTTAAAAATATAATTTCACCTTCACCATATGGATGATGTATTATCTAAAATGACTGAGGACTGAGATTTATTGAATTAGTAAATATTACACACATATTTTATTATTAAGCCCTGGTAAGCCCTGTACTACCTACTTTAAAATATATATTAAATCTAACTATTTCTACTACCCACATTGCTGAACATCCCCAAGCTAGCTGTCTTTTGAAATACCCTCCGACTAGGCTTCACATTTTATCATCCTCAGAATAAAACAGAAATCTGTTCCTAAATTGAAAGGACCTGCAAGCTCAATGCCCTACCGACAGACCAGACCTCCCTGTCTTAGCAGAGTCCTCGGACACAGGTCAACTCACTGACCTCCCCACTGCTTCCAGATCTGACAAGCCTCTCCTCAAGCCTTTGGCCCTTGATGTTTCTTCTCTAGAAGGAGTGCTTCCTCCCTTTATGCAGGATTATACTCAAACAGTTCCTTCCCCAGGGAGGTTCCTGACCACCCGGTAGAAAACTGCACCATTTGGCTGAGACTCCTTTTATGACTATTTTTCTTCACGGCATGGATCACTATCTGATGTACCATTATCTCACTCTCCCAGTTTTTCAGAAAAGTACACTGAGCTTCAGAAAACTTAAGTTACTTGTCTGAGATAACAGAGTTACAAAGAGACTACACTGAGGGAAAAAAAAAAACAGGTCTGTCTCTGTAGTTCTGCCACACCATTTCCTAAGTTTAAGACCAGGGTCAGCAAACTTGTTGGAAGGTTCAATAAACAGTGTAGGCACTGCAGATTATGCAGTCTTTGTGGAAACGATTTCAATCTTTTGTCACTGTAGCGTGAATGATAAATAAAAGGGTAGAGCTGAGTTTCAAAAATATATACTTTATAAACTTGAGGGGATTACCACTACTCTAAAACACATATTTATGGTTTAGATGACATAATAATACTTATTAATAAATACATAATGGTATTACTTAGGAAAATTTGTTACTTAGGAAAAAAATTTTCTGGGTTGTGGAGGGGGGAGCAGTCACTAGGCCATACAGGGCTGTGCTTAGAGGTTACTCCTGGCTCAGTACTCAGAGATCATTCCCAGTGGACTCAGGGGACCATATGGGATGTCAGAGATGGAACCTATGACAGTCATATCCAAGACAAGCACCCTACCCACTATACGATCGATGACTCTGGCCTCGAGAGAAAACATCTTAATTTAAACGAGCCATTGAATACATCTCAAAGGCAGTGCCCACCTCCCACAACCTCACCCTACAATGACGGGCTTGTGAATAAGTAAAATACGCTTTGTTGTGTCTTAACTTTTATCACAGTGACTGGAAAACTTAGCATAGGGTGAGATTTTTCTCATCTACTGACTTGTACATGATTATTATTTTTTACATCACTGAGTATTACAACTGTGAGAAACAAAAGAAAACATGTAAGAAGAAACATATTAATTAATATATTAATTTAAGAGAATATAAACATATTAATTTAAGAGAATACTGTGTGAGAGGCAGCACCAGCACTGACTTCCAAGCTCCCAAATAACTGGTAACGAGCACATTCTGAAACAAAAGCACTGAACAACCTTTTCTTTAAAAACTGTTTGAGCAGGAGTAAATGACAGGCCACTGTAACTTCTGAGGATGTTAATAATAAATACAGAAGTTGTTAAAATACCTATCAGAAAATAAATCACAAGAGGAGATTGATATCATCCACTGATTGCTCTTCAAAACTTCCACTGATCCAAATCCCAAACAGCTCACCCATGACACACAGGAACATTAGGATGAAAGGAAGAACACAAGGTCATAAATGATGGACTTCTCACCTAATAGTTACTTCAACAACTTTACAGGGAAGATATCACCCTCTGGCTGGAAACAGACCTGACAGAAAATTGATGTGACACTAATCTCGACACCCTTAAACACTGATCCTCTGGAAGCTGTGGATTTTCCAACCAAAGGAATCATTTTAGTAATGAAAAATTTAAGTCAAAGATTTATGAAGAATGAAGTAAAGAGTGTACATAATTTAGGGAAAACCTCAGCTGCATCTACTGGACAATAAACACTCTGTAATGAATAAAGCCAAAAACTTAGGACTCACACCAAGCAAAGATCCAATCCTGGCTCTTTCCCACACTCTATACAACAACCTTCCTAAATTCTTTAAAATCTTTCAGTCTCGGTTGATCTTTGGGAATAAAAGTACTTCTCAAGATCATGATAAAATAAAATGACATAAGTTAAATTGTGAGCTTAGCAACATATCTGAATATTAGCACCTGATTATCCCAAATGAAACATTAACCATTAAAATCGTTTCCCTTATTTAACATTAAGCACTGTAAGTATGGGCCAGTGAGACAGTACAGTATGGGTAGGGTGCTTGTCTTGCATGTAGCCGTTCTGATTTGATCCACAGAACTACACATGGTACCCTAAGAACCTCTCGGAGTGATAAGAAATAAGCCCTGAGCAATACTGGGTATGGTCCTAAACCAAACACAAAAAAACAACAACAACAAAAAGGTGGTTATTTATTTTTTAATTTATTTTTAAGTATAGGGTCCAGGGAGATAGTTCTGAGGTCGAAGTCACCTAACTTGCATGCACAGGCACCTGAGTTTGATCTCTGGTACTGTATGGCCTCAGTCAACTCCAACATATCCAGGTGTAGCCCTGGTAGCCTCTAACCTCTGCAGGGGTGGCCCCAGGGACCTTTGTACCACTGAGACTTAACAATGTGCATCTCTGGGGTCTTAGCATTGAATTGGTTCAGCCCAGGTGGCTGAGTATCATCAGGGGTGTCCCCAGGGACCGTGGACATTGATTGGAACAATCCCCAAATAATAATAAAATCCATCATCTTTCTTCAAATATTACTATTGTCAAAACTATTTCACGTAATTGCCAAATTTTTCCCAAACTGGCTTGACCTTTACTCTTTTCATTATATTTGCTTCATTGGGGGAAAAGGGATATTGGGTCACACCTAGCGATGCTGAGGAATTCCTGGCTCAACATTCAGGAATTACTCCTGGAGGGGTGTGGGGGACCATATAGGATGCTGGGAGTCAGCTGCATGCAAGGCAAATGGCCTACCCTCTGTACTAGTTCTCTGGTCTTCATTTGCTTCATTTTTGAATAATCACAAAGTCAATACCACTGCCAGGAGTGCTTTTTTTCACTTACTTTTGTTGAAAATAGATAATCTCTCCTATTCAACTCATTTAACTTAAATTTTCCCATAGAATCTTCCTTGTAGAAACCCTATTTAGGGTTGTTTTTTTTTTCCATTTCAGATGATAACCTTTTCAATAATATTTTAAGAAATCAAAACTGTTTACTAGGTGCTATCGACATGCAAGGGACCACAAGATAGTTCCATGAGGAATACAAGGAAACATAAAACACAAAATTGTGATCCAATCAAAGATTTGCAATTATAGGGGCTTATTGAATGTTAGTCAACTGCTAAAATCCCTGAAAACACAGTTCTTCAGTCAACATCTGGATTGGATTAGAAATGAGTAACAGGAACATCAAAAGTCCTGGTGCTTTGAGGAAAAAGAGAACACATGGGAGAGACCATTAGAACGACCTGAGCAGCTCTCTGATTAGGTCATCAGTGTCACTGTCCTACCAGCATGGGCAGAGCTTACTACCTGTGTAAGCTTACAGTAGTGTATGATGGTAAATGCCCTCATGCTATCAGATCCACTGGCCAAAGAGGTAAATTAGTTAAACATGGCATATTATCTTCAATCATTTCCAAACCTTTAGAATAAACTTCATTTACCCACTAAATTCAATCTATAAGAATACACTGAAACAAGAGTGATCAGCACATTTCCCAACTCAGGTCACCCATGAGAAGCTAGAGCACAGCCCAATCAACGAAAGGCATTTGCCACCGGGATCTGTTGCTGCAAACTGAAACCATTTCCTGAGAATCAAAAATAAAATTACCTGAAGCATTAAGACTACTGTTTTCACCACATTCCACTGTGATTTTCTGCCATCCACAATCACTGTAAATCCTCTAGCTTTACACTTCTCACTGAAATGAAACAAAATTATAAGTTATAAGACATCAGAACAAGCCTCATATTTAATACTTCATGGTACTAAGAAAATTTACAGCTTTTTATCATTTATAAGGAAGCATTAATTTTACTTTATTTTTACATTGTCAATAAATAAATTCTCTTATTTTCCTGATAAACTGACTTTTATCATTTTGGGAACTTAACAACATGCAATCTAATTTGGCAAGAAAAGTATTCTAGAGCCGAAGAGACTAATTATAGGGGTTAAGGCTGATGCCATGCATATCACTGTCCCTGGTTCAATCCCCAGCACCATGCAGTTCCCTGAGCATTGGGCACCATTGGATATAACTCTTAAGCACCTCCTCCCGCCACCTGACATGTCTTATGCCCACCCCTGCAGCACCAAGGTGACTTGGCAATCCCAATTCCTGGCATGGCAAGGGACAAAACAACATTACAGGAACAGAGCAGCACTATATCCCTGGGCCCAAATATTGTACCACTAGCCTAGCTGACCAAGAATCACAGGAATAGGGTGGCAGGCAAATAAAAAAGAATCACTATTAGGGCCCTTCAGGCCTCCAAAACACTGTGAGTCTCTCTTTTGCCCATCCAAAAAAACCTCTAAAACATGGAAAGTCAGTGTTTTTTTTCAAAAGAGAAGAAATCAAAGCAGCATTCAAATAGTCTCTCTAGCTTCCCAATGTCTTCATCTGTACAACAGGATATGAATAAAAAAGATAACTCATGACAGCCAAGAATGAATGTACTTGTTATCTCTCCTTCCTGTCAGAAGTATAAGGTTTGGAAAGAGGCTACTTAAACAGGCTACATATATACTAAGTTATTATTAAGCCATTGGAAATTGGTGCCTTGGTACTCTCCTGGAGAAACACAATGTGTCGGTGAAATGACACAATCTTTGGTGTATATACTTGTCAAAACTTGAATACACTCTGAATTAACTGCTCTCACATTACATTCTCAATCAGTTCACTAGCAAAATATTTAATGCTAAAAATGTATTTTGACATTTTTATATTTTTTATTCAAGTGCTCACTACTTCCTAACTACTTCCCAGAAATCTACCACAGTGAAATGCAACATTTAAATAGAAAACCCCATCCTATAGACCAAAACCACATAACTGTCTTACTGCTGTTATTTTACTGTTTTAATAAAAGCAACTTAATGCAAGGATCTCAATAGGTTCTCCTCCAAATGGAAGAAATGGCAGTCTGGGGCGAAGCAAGGATTCGATAGTGAAAGGTAAATTACATACAGTATACAAAAAAAGATAAACAGCAGTTCTTTTCTGGGAATTTAAATCCAACAGTTCAGGGAATTTCACTAATCCTTCCTTACTTCCTTCAAGCATCCACATCAGTATCGAGAGTTCCTGAGGAAGTAATATTCAATTCTAGTGAGAAGCATTAAAGTCATCAGAATAAGGATACTACTGCTAAAAAATCTGGAAGACACAGAGGTATCTCTATTGGCAATGACAGAGGTTCAGCTTCGAAAGAAAATAGAAAACATATTCAAGAGGTATATTCAAAATAAAACATATGCCATTACAAAAAATATATATAACATTACAAAAAAAAAGTCTACACAAATGTCTGGAGTTGTATAATAAAGTCAGTAGTAGAAGCAATCCAAATGTCCATTAACTGAAGAATGAAAGAACAAGATAAGATATACCCAAATTACTGTACATTACTCAACAAAAAGGAAAAAAGTACTGATACATCCTACAACATGAAAATACCTTGGGGAAAAAAAAAACGATGACAAGTAAAAAAAGTTACAGGCAAAAATGCCACACATTGTACAATTCCATTTCTGTGTAATGTTTGGAACAGATAAACCCACAGAAGCAGAATGTGAATTTGTGGTCACAGTGAGTCGGAAAGGGGAAGAATGGGAGTGACTGCTAATCAGTGTAGGATTTCTTGGCCACCTGATAAAAATGCTCTGGATTTTAGAGAAAGATACCCATCAAATCTCAATAATGACTGGAAAACACTGAATCATTACTTAATTTAAAAGGATAGCTTTTGTGATATGTAAATGATCTAAAAAAAACCCCACCTAATTGCCCTATTTTTGAATGTTGCAATATAGCACAAAGTACTGTTTATTTGGGGCAGGCACTGAGGGGTGTGATGTGCCAAACAGCTCAGGGCTTATTCCTGGTTCTGCACTTCAAAATCAATCCTGACAGGACTTGAGGGATGATGCGGGGTGTCGGGAATCTCAACTGGGTGGCCACATGCAAGGAAAACATCTTTTCTGCTGTTCTATCTCTCTAGCTCAAGTGTTGTTTACTTTTTAATAGGTACTTTTTTAGGAGAAAAAAGGTGAAATAATCAAATGATCATTTCTGGATGAGTACTAGCCTATAAAATCTTGTTAGAAGTAAAGTTGACTCTGATGGCTAGCTATGGACTCATCTACAGAAAAAAATATGCTGGAGACCCCCCATCAAGACTTATAGAAAGGCCCTCCTAAGATTTAAGGGTGCACAAATCTGGAGAAGAGCTGACTTGGCAGCCCAGCTGGCCGTTGAGTGGCTAGTGGTGAGGAAAGTGGCAGCAGTTCAGGCATTGTACAGTACACCAGGAGAAGAGCAGCCAGGAAAGACAAAGCTGTCCTCCCTGAGAGGAGAGATTTTCCATGCTGGGACTAGAGCCAAAAGCTGCATATCATCCCCCTAAGGGGGATACTCTAGTCATCAGTATTTGCATCGCTAAGTCATTGTTCACACAATCATTTTGTTAAACAAAAAAGTTTTACAGGCTTTTATCTCTCAAAGCACAGTCTAAATTAATCTATACATTAAGGCAAAGAAAGTAATGAGGCTTGCAAATGCCATCTGCAGTAATCTTAAAGGCACGAGATCCTCTAAATTTATCTTTCAGGGCACTTAAAATACCCTAATCATAATTTCTCATGGTTTAGTACAATAGACAATAAATATAGAAACAATCCAAAAATACTATTTCAAAACTTCAAGTTTTCTTTTAGTAACTCAAAAGGAATGCAACTTCTTTTTTACTCCATTTTTATAAGTGGAGCAATGATTTAAACTGTTTTTGGTAACACTTGATTTAGAAGAATGTTGTTATACCCTTTATAAAGGGAATTTTGAAAGAGTTGTGTTGCTATTAGTTATAATAACAAATTCCCATATTATTCACAAGTTTATAATCATATCTTAAAAATAATATACAATTCTACGAAAACCCTCTCTGTGTTCATACTCTATTAGAACCTCTTTTATTTATTTATTTATTTGAGCCACACTGGCTCATAAGATATTTGCCTGCTCAGTCTTGGGGATTTGGTTTCTCTGGGACCATGTGATACTGGAGATCAAACCTACATACGAAGTATGAAAAACATGTGCTTGTCCTTTGCTGTCTCTTATATAGAACTGGTACAGGGTGAGGTGCTGAATTTGAAAGTCTATGTAAAAGGTGATTTTTGACAAGATTGAGGTTGTGCTGATATTCCATGACTCTATAACTGGAAGATCAACATGTTCCCTTTGAACTAGAAGTACTATGATTTTAATTCTAAGATGAATGCAATGCTGGAAATAGTGTTAAAATATTTTCAAGGTTCCCCTTAAAATATATTGTCACAAAATTATTTTCATATGGCAATTTTCTACTGTGACATATATATGCATGTAAAATGTGAATGAATAAAGTTATTAATATACGGGGCACTGTGATTTTATCACAGGTAACTGAAATACAACCGGACAGGTCTGAAAGTGCAGGACCAAACCTCCCCTTGTTTTTTAATTTTTTTTAATTGAATCACTGTGTGATCGATCCTTACAGAGGATTCATGATTAGGTTTTAGTCATACAGTGTTCCAAGACCCATCCCTCCAAGCAGTGTACATTTCCCAGCACCAGTGTCCCCAGTTTCCCTCTAATGACCCACCTACAAGCCTGCCTCAATGTCCAGTTTCCCTCCCATCACCCCCACCCTCCAGCCCGCCTCAGTGGTAGGCACTTTTCTTCTCTCTCTCTCTCTCTCTCTCTCTCTCTCTCTCTCTCTCTCTCTCTCTCTCTCTCTCTCTCTCCCCCTCCACCTCTTTTTTGGCATTGTGGTTTGCAATATAGCCAAATCTCCCCTTGAATCCTGGTTTGCTACAAGCCATTCTTATGCTTCAGTTCCCTTGTTTGTGAGGTAGGGAACATGGGTGACAGTACTCATCTTAAATGAATTGGCAATGTACTTAAATGTACTATATTCTACTACAGCCCTCTTAATAGCCGTCATCCATAAGCACTAAGGTCATTCAGTATTCAAGATACCAAAAGAGGGCTGAGGACATTGTTCAAAGGGGTGGACTGCTTGCTTTCTGTGCTTTAAGCTTGAGTTCCCAGACACCACATGAGCCTGAGTACTGTGGGTGTAGGTTTGGTGACCACCTGCAACTGCCTGACTTGAGCACCAAACCAACAGGTTTCTATTGCTAGGTCAAGTCAAACTGGGAATGGTCCTTATCCCCACCCCAGCACTGCTAGGAGAACCACACCTCAAAATTAACAAAATCCTAAATGAAAGGCAAAACCAGATAAGACAACTGTCTAATACATCAAAGTTTCTACTGAATTAACAACTTTTGCATATTTATATGAGCTTCCCACAAAATGGAAGATGCTCTATATTCATGATTCATCAGTTACCAAGTCCAGTCAACCCATGTTTTATTAAACAGCACTCTGAAGAAACAGTAGCAGTAAAAAAAAAAACTTAGAAGGCAGAAATCCATACACTTTGACGACTGATGACTGACTTTGTTGGTTGTACCGTACAGATATAAGAAAAATATAAGATATTCAAGATTTTCCCCCAATGAAATAAAAAAAGATAAAAAATAGGGAGAAAAGTACTTTAATTAATATCTACCTTACGTTCACAGACATTGCCTTATTTAGCATTACTAGGGTAAGAGCATACTTTTAAAAATTAAATTTTAAAA